CTCTGCACACTCTTTTCTGTTCTCTCCAATCCACATTCTCCTGATTACTTAAAATGTAAATTCCAGTATCTTTGCGATTCGCATGATCGACAACTCCGTTCTTCTAACACACTCTCACTTTCTACTCCTCTTTTTCATTCCGGCTTTATGTTCGACTCTTTTACCCTCCAAGCCATACGACTGTGGAATAGTCTCCCTGACCCCATCAGAAGATCTCCCAATAAATTTATTTTTAAACGTAAAGCTCATGCCTTTCTTATGAAAAATATGTGAAATTCATCATCAGTATTATGTATCTATATTTGTGCTATTGTGTGTATATATGTAGTTGTATGTATATATATATATATATATATATTTTAGTCTGTTTCTATTTCTATATTCTATGCATAGTTAATCTTTTATTAATGCCGCCATCGCGTTTATCGTTTTTCCTAAAGGTTGACTGGGAGAGAATGCCATTAGCATTAAGTCCGCCTTTTGTACCTTTTTTTATTACGGGTCAATAAAGTTTAATAAATAAAAAATAAATAAATAAATAAATAAAAACGTAAAACGCCACCATCCAAAGATACTTAATCATAAAAAAAGTAATCAGATCTCGATCGATCAACAGATTTATCGTTATTATCATCATTCTGGGAATAATTTGCGATTGAGTGCTTTGCGGCGCAACAATAAGATTGTGAAATCAGTGTTTATCAATTTAGTGACATTATAAATGTCATACATATTTTTAATCCTTCGATAATCTTTAGCAGTACTACAAAAGAAAATAGTTTTAGTGAAAAATTTTATCTTTGGCACTCTGAAATGGGACACGAACCCACGATTTTCACAATCCGGGCGCCTGCTCTAACCACTGAGTTACCCAGGACCTAACAGGACTGACGAATTTTTCAAACACTTGTTAGTTTTTCGCTACTACAGAGCGTATTTTCATCAATGTTCAGGCAATCCACCCAAACAGCCGAAAATAAATATTTTACAAATATTTGGAAATTGTTCCAAATATTATATTCTATCAATTTTGTCGATGTCATTCGAGAACACCCGAGACTTTATACGTTTCTCGCCTTTTCATTCCTTTATAGACCGAGATGTGGTTGGTACAAGATAACTTTAATGTAACTTGAACGTTGGGCAACTCACATGAGAAAACAAAGACTTCAGTGGGTAATAGGCAATTCAGGTTCTTGAGAATCAATCTGTCTGATGCAACAAGTATGCAATTTAACATTAGCAAGTAACAAGTAGGCGACGCCAGCGTATATTGCAACACACTTGCAATGCAACTTACACCCAACTATATAAAATGAATTAAAATGAACTCACAAATTACCTTGTTTATTTAGTTGCTCATTATTTATTAATATATCCTAAATTTTTTTAAATCAAAAAATAGTTATGGGCGCAAAACATCAATTAGAAAAACTTCTTAAAAATTAACTGACAAGTCACGGAAGCAGTAAGGAATGCGGTAGATGAATTATTACATTGACAAACCAGACTCAGTGTTAGTAATTGAAAATCTATTTATATTGTTAATAATACAATTATCCTATTATAAAATTACGCAGGCGAAAATAAACTCTATTTAAGGAAAGAATATCACATGACAAAAGAAAAATAATTTTAGATGTTATATAAATTTAATAAAAAAAACTATCCTAAGCACCTATCTGAGGTTTCTTCCGAATCCAGATTAGAGATATAGTATCATTATTTTCTTTTGCATCGAAACATAATAGTTAAATTCTCTTGGCATTTTGTAATCATCCGGCATGGGCCAAGGATGGCCAACGACCGGATCGCCAGTGACCGCGGCCCCTGCGTCCGCGTATGACCCCTGTGCACGAATGCAGCCATCATAAGGGTAATCTCCACGAAAGAGGACGTTGTTTTGTTTTTGTTTGTTTATTATATATAAACTCGAAATTACATTCACGATCGATTTTAAATAAGTTCTTTTATTACCGATAAAAGAATATGTGCTAATTTGCAGTTTGATACATTAGTCAATGCGGATGAGTGACATAATCGTGTTTTTTGGAAAGCAGACTAAACAGTGATGTTGTTGGCGAAGAAAATATTTGGAGGGGGAGTGTGAGGTCGCCCAGCGTGCGAGTTGATATTGCGCAGACGCCTCTCTCTGTTTCACAATTCGACCCACTTCATGGACGGAGTGCTCCTTCCAGTGATCGTGCGTGCAGACACAGCACAACACTAACCGTAGTTCCAAAACAAGCATAGACCAACCAACAGGTTGAGCAACAATTGTCGAAAACAAACCCTCAATATGATAGACAGGCCCTTGCGAAATTCAGACTTTCAAAATTATTCTTACAAGAGCTTATGACGAAAGGTATTGACATTTAACTAGAGAGTTATAATACCAGTTACGAATTAGATCTTTCATTGATAAATGATAATAAAAACGTAATAAGAAACGATAAATGATAATTACTGAAGGGGTTGATTTTGAAGAGGCACAAACCAACTCCTCAATATATTACATGCCTGAGCAGAACATGAGGTGCGACCGCTTTACTTTTACATCGTAGCGAATATCCTAATGATGATTTCGTTTTATTTTCCTACTTTGATATTTTGGATAGATGACTAAGTTTGAAACACTGCTGTAAAATCTATATTCACCTTTCGTTATTAAAGTACATACATGTTAAAGTAATAACATGAAACGAAATGGCTCTATAACATCGCTAAGATCTTGTATCCTATGACTAGAGTTATAGCTAGAGAAGTTAGAAGGTCCCTCTGCTAGTCTAAGCTATAGCCGCTTCGGGTAAAAATAACCCTATATAACTCACCGCCCTATACACTACATTAATAATTATTGCCCAAAACATTAAATCTATACTAATATAATAAAGCTGAAGAGTTTGTGTTTGTTTGAACGCCGTAATCTCAGGAACTACTGGTTCGAATTGAAAAATTCTTCGTGGTGGGGTTCGTGAATAGAATTATATTTTATACGTATGATATTTTAGATCGTTTTGGGTAGACGCTCTTCTTAGATCGGGGTCCGAGACCTGCTACAGTCCAAGTAGATGTTGGTCTGCCAAGTACTGAAAGATCAATCACAGGCTTCATTTTCAAGTTTGAAAGTCGAAACACGATGTGCGGATAGTTAAGTACCTACGCGCGTGGTAGATCCACTTGGGCATATTCAGAGGCGATTTCAAGTTCAATGTTACAAACGTTTTACTTATTTGCTACACTATCTCTTACAAACGAGTGAAGTAAATCGAAACGCGTATATTCGCGCAGTGTTGAACAGGTTCCTAAACTTAAAACGCGATTCCGATTTGGATGTTAGCAGAACCCAACCCGATTTAGCTGCTCCGATCAAAAAGTAATATCTGCCGCACCTTACACTAATACTACGAAATCACCTTTTAAGCACAGAAGTTGCTATATATACAATACAGACAGTATCCTCCGAATCTTGATCAATATTTTAGGATGTTGATTGAAATCCTGTCTTTGCTGCGACATATTCAATATACTGTAATAAATGTGAGGTGAAAATAATTGTAAATAACCTCCCCTACGACCTCTTAAAAGGATCCGGTCTAATTACCCATAACCCTGTATACACACAAATAATAGAAAGCTGTCTCAAAACATATATAATTCTGATCACTTTAAGAAATAGGTTTTTTAAGAAAAATTATGTTTTAAGTTATATGACTTTTTTCAGGTATTTTTGCTTCTGAGAAAAAAATTGAAGGCAACTCGGTGGCGCTTTAATTTTTGCAACCCTGGACATTTTCCCGGTTAGAAATGTATGTGAATTTAGTGTCAGAGTGATTTACAATGGATCTCGGAAGAAATCAATTTAAAACAAAAAACTTATTTGATATTCGTTACATTTATAATTTGACTTAGTTGGCCTTTAATTTCGGCAACAGAATAAATAATATTTTTCGTTTAACTACATAACATTATCTACCACACATATTATATAGGTAATGCTTTAGTTTTGTAGTATGACGTCGCGTTACTTTAGTTTTAATTAATCGTTCTTTAGGATTAACTTATAAAGCTTCTAGGATTTTCACTTTTAACTTATAGATGTTTGTTTTTAAACGTAGTACATATAAATACCATAATAAATATAGAACAAAACAGTTCTTTTGTGATAACTCATACTTTTCAAGTTATTATCGAACTCTCGACTGCGACTGCTGCTCTTTTGATCTTAGCACTTATCTAGCTAGCGGATTATTATAAGTGTTCCATATTATCTATTGTACTAGTGATCCATAAAGTCGTTAGCGACGAATCAATTCGCATTTTTATTAACTTTCCCTATTAAAAGTATAAATAATTTAGAACATAAATTATGAAAATGGTGTATTTTAAGAGGTAATACTGAATTTTTTAATGAGAAAATCCTATTAATTCATTTTTACGTTAAACCTTAGAAATTAGATGTATTTGTATTTTTAACCACTGACTCAAAAAGAGGGGTTACGAATTTATTTTTTCGGTACGGCGAATGAATAGGGATTTTGATAATTTAATTAAGAATATTAAAAACAAATTTTTTTAATGTTTGCGTAATCAATAAATTACGGCGTTGCATTGAGTTGAAATGTCAAATGATGTCATAACTTTGTACGTTTTTTCATAGTTGTGACGTAGCGAGGAGCCCCTACTCCTCAACTTTAATGCCTATCACCTAAGTCATTTCTTATTAAATTAAAACAAAAAATACGTATCTAATATTTTTCTATTATCTGACTGATGGATTGAAAAAAAAATGTTTTTTAACAGTTATCATTCCTATTCTATTAAATGACAATCACAAACTCGATCGTAACAACGTTTATAGTATTATGATAGATCGAGACTGCACATTAGGGTAATAGGTATCTATTTACACAGGTAAAATTAAGCAGTCACATAATGCTTATAAGATTTGGCGAGAAAATGTCTACTTTTAAATAAAGATGTAAATAAAACAGAATTTTAATATACAAAACGATATATTTAAGAAACTATAGTTTAATCTCATACTTATACTAAACAATAATAAATGACTATATTACATTTTTTCCCGATCTGTTGCATTAAAATATGTATGTTGTGCATAAAATTATATTGTATATAAACTCATACGGATATTAACAAATATGAATAGAATAGAAATGAAGCATATTCTAAGAACATTCTTTTAATCTATCTTAGAATTAATTACTTAAAGGTAAATAACGTAACTAACATTGCTGCTTTTGTAATAATTGGATCCTGTTTGCATAGTTGTAGCCTGTATTAAAAAAGAAATAAAACTGTGTAAAAAAAAAATACGAACATAAGAAAATCTACACACTTTATGCTGGACATTTAACGTTTTAAATAGTCTTTTGGAAATAGCGAAATTTCCGAACTAAGCTACAAAAATTTTGACTAGTGAATAGCTTAGATTTATCACATGAAAAAGTAACAATGGAAATTTTATTTCACAAATTTTCGATAATCTGTTAAAAATTATTCATATATTATAATATAGTAGATACAGGGCGTCGCTCATTAGCGATTAAATCGGATAATAGCGTTATCTACGCCACTGTACCTACTTGCTAGCTTTGATACTGCACTTATCATTATTTCCTTGTTTCAGACTTTACCGATATTCAGATTTAAAATGATTTCATTGCACGATCAAACACACAATAGGGTAGAGCCCGTGGCCATATGAAACTAATAAATTATAATTTTTGAAACAGAAAACAATAAATAAAATATAGTCAACAACAAATCAGGTTATACAAAACTTATTTTCTTCAATTCATTTAAACCTTATTAAAATTTATTTATTTGTGCTAATTTAATATCAAAACAATTATATATGGTATTTATATGCGGCTTCATTTCATTTCAAATATCAATCACCAATATTCATGAACTACATAGTTGTTACACTATCAACATAACAATGAATTATTGTTTTTTTTTCCATAGAAGGCAATAGACTTTGTCATGATATTAAAAACATAACAAGTCGAACATGAGCGTATCAACTAATAGATTTCTATATTACTGATAAGCACCTAAAACAATAAACTAAAGAATCCCGGTGAAGCAGGTAAGCGATATTATTTATTCCAGCAACTATAAAAGTATTATATTATTTACACATCTTACTAAAACATATTACCTAACTGTTTTCATAACATATGTACATCCATTTTTTTAAAATTACACAATATATTTCTGAAACTTACAATAATACAGTAGACTTGATCCTATTGAATAAATTAAAAGCAGACTGCAGATGTTTGCTTAACAATTACGTATTTTTACAGTCCCGTTTAGGTATATTGTGTTTAGAGAATAAAAATTTTATTTTCTTATATTGTAATTGTATTGACATTTTAAATGTGAATTTACTGTAATTGAATTTTCTTAAATAAAAACTGCATAACGCTAAGGGAATAAAACTTTTGAAAAAATCTATTAATTAACAAATTAATTATTATCAATTATAAACAATATTAGCATAATTTAGTTCGACTTTCGACACATCTGATCTCATCGGTTGCGGAACAGACAAATATATGATTTGACATTCAAACTTACAGACGCTAATCGACCGCCTAGCTCCTCTAGCTGTAACTAGCCACAGGACACGACATCTTAGCGATATTATAGCGCAATTCGTTACATTTTAGTACTTTGACATGTACTTTAATAGGGAAGAACGAATGATAATGAATTTGACAGCAGTTTTTAACTTAATCATTTATCCCAAGTTTATCCACCAAATCTCATGGCAAAATAGTAAAAACAAAAACGAAATATCATCACAACATTCCCTAAAATGTCGATCCTATGGCCAGAGTTATGGCTTCTATGCTTCCATGAGACGCTTGACGGACATTTTATCAGATATGTGACGACACATCGTTAACAATTATAGTTATTTATTACCACTTAAACAATAAAATCAAGCCTAAGGTACGTAGTTAATTATATTTTAATGATACATATTGTATAGGTAAATAAGTACTATATACGCTAAAGCAACTACTTATTCTGTAAAAACTAAAAATAATAATAGTAACTGAATATAAATTAATATTGTGATGCTAATATAATTTTTCACACCTACATGTCCTAGTAATAGATGTTTGAAAAAAAAAATAGTATTTAAACAAAGGAAGCTGAATTATAATCGTTGATATCACAACCAGATAATGCCTATATCAAAGATACAAAATAAAAACCCCCGGTACATTCCACACTGTCGCCAGCATCGGGGCACGAAAACTAAGCCAGACTATAACTTGTCGAAATAATATATTTAGTTAATTCAAGATAAAAATGTAGATAATTAGTTATAAGTGGAATGTTAAGGATTACAAAGTAATATAACGAAAGAAAAAGTACCGATTGGAATGTTTCACTTAATCGATTGAAAAGGAATTATGAACAAAATAGAAATTATGTGTTGCTAATTAATATAAACCGGGTGAGTTATTAATAATAAAAGGAATCATACAGCTTGATGCTCTCATTCTAATGTTAATATCTAAATGTATATTATATTTTAGGCGATAACACTTTAACGTAATAGGAATAAGTATTATGTGTTTACATATTATTATACATATAGTTGCAAAACAGATGACATTTCAGTTAATAATCATATACAACTTTTAAATTTTACGTGCTGTAGGTAAGTCACGCAGCTGTATAAAAATATTATTTTGTAGTTGTATTGTCATGGCTATTCAAGTATTATATGTAACGGAACAACGATATATTGATATCTGTATTTTATTTTTTGCGCTTTTCAAACATCAAAATGATTCAGTAATACCTAAAGCCGGTCACGCTTCGCTATGGCTTAGTATATTCTTAAAGGAACCTCGGGATAAATATATTTAAGTCTTAGAAAAAATACAACGCTTTATAAAATGTAGTCCATCATTTGACTACTCTTGAGTTTTGCGGCTACAAAATACGAAAGCTGGATTTACTTATATATTCATTCAATATTTACATTAAAGATTTGTGCCAAAGAGATCGCAAGATAACCGTTTATTCTACAGTAACAGATTTTGCGAGATTTCGCGGACAATCAACATTACAACCCCGTAATACTGCAATGTGATATGCAAGAAGCTGCATAGGGATGACGGTTAAAACTCCCTGCAGACAATCCACAGTTTTCGGAATTTCTAGGCTACGAGAAGCCAGAGCCATTGTTTCCTTGTCGCCCTGCTCACATACGACGATCGGTCGACCTTGCCGGGCATTCACTTGCTGCAATGCATTCATGCACTTTGTGTACACTGGATCGCGCATTACAATCATCATAACTGGCATTGAATCATCAATGAGAGCGAGAGGACCGTGCTTCAATTCTCCAGCCATAATGCCCTCGCTGTGCATATATGTCAATTCTTTCACTTTCAAAGCTCCTTCCAAACAAGTTGCGAAATTGTATCCTCTTCCCATTATTAGTAATGATCTTTGCCGATATAAATCTTCTGCCAGAGCTTTTACTTCAGAATCCAAGGCCAACACTTGACGAATCTTTTCATCCAACTCATGAAGACCTGCAATGATATCGGCGCGTCTTTTCTGCAAGGAAATGCGATCCTCACTAATAACAAGAGCGAACATGACCAATGATACAAATTGAGAAGTGTATGCTTTTGTTGAGGCAACACCGATTTCAGGGCCAGCATTGATGTGGACACCACAGTGCGATTCACGACAAATGGAGCTGCCTACTGTATTAGTAATGCCCACAATAAGGGCGCCATGTCGTTTACAGTACCTCAAAGCCATTAGAGTATCAGCAGTCTCTCCAGATTGGGAAATAAAGAAGCAAACATCATCTCTGAAAACTGGAGTCTTTCTATCCAAGAAATCAGACGCCAGCTCTACCATAACAGGTAATTCCGTGAGCTCTTCCAGTAACTGACGAGTAGCTACTGCACTATGGTAGCTGGTACCACATCCGATTAACATAAGTCTTCTGCATCGCTTAATCTCAGGAATATAATCTTTGATACCTCCTAAAGTGACAGTGCTATTAGCAAAGTTAAGACGTCCTCTCATAGTATTAACAATAGATTCTGGTTGTTCAAAAATTTCCTTTTGCATGAAGTACTCATAGTTGCCTTTCATGATTTGTTGCAATTCAAGTTTTAAAGTGAAAATTTCACGTTCATGAGGATCAGTACTGCTGCCAGACAAGCGATGAATACTGAGAATACCATCTCTAATATGGGCAACATCATCATCTTCAAAATATAAGACTCTATTAGTATGTTCAATAACAGCAGATGCATCAGAAGCAAAGAAATACTCAACATCACGCTCCTCTTCAGGTTCAAAGTGTGCATGACTGTTGACACGGGGTACAGAAGGTACCACTCCTCGAGTAGCTTTGTTATTGGTGTACATAATTGGCACATGATCACTAGACAGCCGGCGGCGTGTCTTGATTCCTACTAATAATGGGCTACCTCTTCTAGTTGCTACACATTCATTGGGAAAATGGCGTGATTTGAAACACAAAGCAAAAGCTCCTTCGAGCTGTTGGATTACCTGTTCAACAAGTTCCTGGAAGTTGTAATCTTTGTGCTGGTTGTACATATGATGAATCAACTTAGCAATAGCTTCGGTATCAGTTTGAGATTCAAATGTATAACCCTTATTTTCTAGAAATGTTTTCACTTCTTTGTAGTTAGTAATGATGCCGTTGTGGATGACAACAAAAGCGTTATCTTCTCCTGAACGTTGCGGATGTGAGTTGACGGCACTCGGTTCACCGTGCGTTGCCCAACGCGTGTGAGCGATTCCACAGTGCGAATCAACACATTCTTCTACTGATAGCTCGACGCTACGCTCCTGCAGCAGTTCTTCAAGAGCAGCTACTTTGCCGCTGCGTTTCACCACAGCGATATCTTTCTGGTCTGCAGCATCGACAGCGACGCCCGCCGAATCATATCCACGATATTCTAAGCGTTTTAATCCATTTACGAGCAATTCCAAAATTTCACGCCGAGTTTTCGGCGTTAGATGGTTAATGTATGCAAATATTCCGCACATATTTACTAAACGCAAAAATGATCGTAGACCCGACTGAAGCAAACCACGACTCGCGAGCGACTGCGACTACTGGAATGTACTGTAGATATTGAAGGCCTACGCGTATTGCTCCTACCACAAATAAGTTACTTTCACTTACGGCAAAGCACACGTCATCATGTTTCGTTATCAACCGCTTGTTGATGTCGTAAAACAAATATATAGGCGAGGATTGTAAACCTGTCTGTTTATCGGAAACATTTTTTTTGTAGAGTGGAAATGTAATTGTCAATGTGACAGACAATGTCAATTTGACAGTAATAATCGTAGTATAGCAATTCTCTCATTTCGTCTAGGAATATATAGCTGCCAAAGTTGTGACAGGCTGTTTTAGTTAAGAATTAAAGATTTTTCTATAGACATGCTTATAAAAGTTAAGTGTTATAAATTAATTATATAATTAATTTATAACACTTAACTTTTATAAGCATGTCTATAGAAAAATCTTATAATTTATATATATATATATATATATATATATATATATATATATATATATATATCTTATATATATACAAATCTAAAATAACATTAATTCAGAAATGGTATCAATAGAAGGGATACGGCAAATGATAGGTCTACCGCTGATCTATTAGCTAACTAAACTGATATAATCATAATCACCGAAAAAAGAAGGACAAAAGTGAGCAAATAAATCCAATGCTTCAATATTACTTCAATGGAACTTGATCCCCGATTACGGGGATTAAGATTCGATTAACTAAATAAGTTTTTTGTTAGTAGCGTCACGCTATAAGTGACAACTAATTTGCCTACTTCAAACTAAATTTTGAATTACGTGCCTGTTTATATATATATATATATAAATACAGTTTTTTTTATTTATTTCCCGTATTGGGTAAGTGTTGCAAGACTTATATTCATTCTTGCTGTAGTTTTAGTATATGAAATGGATTTATGACCACTAATTCATTTAATTAATCATCACAAATTGTGTGATTCGATTTATTGTTGAACTGAATACTTATTTACATAACCTTCATCGTCAGTTAGTAAAATATAGTAAATGCCTATTGCTGGGTCTTCTAGAAATAATTAGTTATTAGTATTTTATAAGATCCCATCTACTTGATTTTATATACATGGACCAAAAATATATTGCAAACAAATGGATCTCACGAAAAATTTTTTTTTATAGTTAACGACCTAATTATAAAATTATTAATAAATAATTTTATTAAATTATTAATAAATAATTTTATCGTTAAAGTTGTATTGTTTGTGTGTCTCATCTTTGATCTATTTATACTAGTCATATCACCTATACTGAATACTCCATCTCGAAACGCTTGCAGTCAAACTGTGAAACGGAATGGTGTTGAAATGTCTGGTTTGGCATTATTACAGGGACGTATCCTTTGGCTCAATATAAAAATAAAATATAACATTGTTCGAGGGTCTTGCTAAGTGCGTCATTTGTTGAATCTGGGTTGCCAGGATAGTGGTAACCAAAAGTCTAGACTTTTGGTTATGCTCATACTAGTATGAAACAGTTGCTTAATGTCACGAACCGCACCCTAACCTTTAATAAATAAATAAAGTGATATTTTAGAAATTTAAAGGTTATTTTAAATATAATATAATTATTATCTGTCTATTTTATTGGCTTTACCGTCACAGTATCAACTCAGATGGCATTCCGTACTAGGGGTCGATTCAACCTCCAAGGTACCAATGACATCCCATCAGGTCTCTTTCCATCGCCGCGAGTCAGTCCGTTCGGTTCTAGAATGGCTGGCACTAACGCCATAGCAAGAGCTCGACAGATATCATTAATACTTTAATGTCGAGAGATACGACCAACACTTCTGCTACATGAAAAGTCGTGATGACCTAAAGATTTCACCGCATGGGCATAGATTATTACAGATAGTTTCCAGGCGAAGACAAACTGCAAAGTGGAAAGTTGTATTTTCTAAAAGTCAAAACAGTTGATCAAGGCAAGACTTGTAATCAAAGACCTGATTCCCATTTAGCGATAGCTAAGAGGCGAGCATGCTCTGTAGAATTGCCAGACGTGTTTAATAGATTATTCCATACCAATTTACAGAGCGGCTAGTCTCAATGTTTTTGGGCTGACATTACTGTTGGAAAATCACTTGTAGTTTTTGCTTCGGCCATATTCGTGATAGCAGCAGTTAAAGCCTTTTAGATAATTTTTTTTTTTATATAAAAAATAAAAATGCTGTGTGAGCAACACTAGAAATTTTGCGTAATAGGGTATTTGACACTTTTCTGAAAACTATTTTAAATCGTTGTTTGCTACATTATAAACACACTGTCATAATATTTCATTGGAATCTTTTCTATTTTTGGTGAAAATAATTGTTAAAATTTAAATAGCCAAAAGCGCGCGAAAAACGCTGCTCTATGTAATGGCGCTGATCGTGACGTCACAGGCCAGTAAATATGTCAAATCGATAAGTAACAACTGTCTTTAGAGTAAATTAGGGATGATCGATATTGGAAAAACATCGATATTGACATCGAAGTCAACATTCGATGAAAACCATCGATCTTCCCCAAACATCGATTGCGTTGCTGTTAAAGGAATTGACCAGCTTTAGAAAAAAGCGTCTCTGAAGCCGTGGAAGTAGCTGTGCAACATAAATATTTTAATGCAATCTTTTTTAATGTGGGGTAGGTGAATGCTACCCCTTAACATAAAAGTAATGGAATAAGACAAGTGTCATAAAAAATCACGCGGGAGTCTCACGGACAGAGAACGAGCCCAACGAGCATAAAGTAACTTTTTTTTATATACATAAATTACCTTTTTCCGTTTTACACAGAAATTTTGCGAGATAGTGAGAAACTGTTTTTAATGGTTTTCTTCCTCCCTTGTTCTAAAAGTACAACACAAAGCAAACGTCACAAATTGTACTAGTAAATTAAATAAAAAATATCGCAATAAATATATGATAGTGCCATGTAGATTATAGTGTATTGTTATATTTTTTAATATGCTTACAAAGCGCAAAAAGATAGGTATGTTAGAAATAGACAAGATAGTATTAAGGTTAATGGGACGGGGGGTTTTAGATGGAACTTGATCATATGAGGTACGTTGTTTCAGACAGTTGAAGAGGATGGGATCAGTGGTACCTTTTTTGATTCCGCACTCGCACGTGGAACTATCTAATGTATCTTTGAAACTAAGACCGGTGAATAAAGTAACTTATAAGATACCATCTAGTACATCTGGAGCACGTTAGATGGCCTAAAGGGTATCTTGACATTTTATTCATAAACATTGATGTTTGGCACGAAAACATCGATGTGCCGATGTTATCCAATTTAAAACATCGACGACAAATCATCGATGTTTATTCAACATCGAGGAATATCTGTTGTCAATCAAACCTCATTTCAGTAAATAATAAATAAGTAATAAATTTCAAATTTTATTGACAATGTCATAGGTTATTGATTTTTCTAATTCAATAAAAATGTGGATCATCGCCATCTTTCATTCGTTTCATTTTCATTTTACATGTAGAAATAAATTTATTCACTTGACATTGGCAGAATTGTGTGAAATGCGCAGATAAGCCATTAATAAAAGAAGAAGAAGAAGAAGAATAAAAATGTCTTCGTAGATAAACACCTAAAGTGTTTTATTTGCTTAAAACGAGGCATAGTTTCTGCAAGTAATAAAGCGGAAGACCTGCAGGAACGTGAATTCATCACAATATCGATCATCCCTAGAGTAAATTGAAATAATAATTTAAAAGAGAAATTGAAGTCGTAGAGCGTATTTTTTACGTTTTTATTTTCCTCTGCTCTGGTTTTCTTTAAAAAGTGAGCTACAAGTGGTGCGTAGTGCCACAATGTACTTATACTTCTATAAATAACAAACAAACTTCGAGTCTAGAAGAAAATAGATTCACAATCACAATAGTATAGTAGCTATATAGAGTAGAGATGGTTGATAAAATTAGGTAAGGATTCGCTAAAAGTATTGAAACTTTTTTATTTCATATCGATACATTTGAAGGTTTTCTTTGTTATTAACATTTTACGACTCATTTATATTTGTTGACAGGGCTCGCACTTTACAGCCTGTCGACCTACAGATGGATGAGACATTAGTACGAAAAAGAATGTTCTATTTTTTTATACATGCATGTAGTATGTCTGTCCAAATGCATGGCATTTGATAATTAGATATCAGATACCGATGATTTTTTTTTAAAATTAGATTTTAACTTGAAGAACACTATATATCATCAAAATCGACTTTGTACTTTGAATTATTATAGTAAAGTTCAAGAAATGAGAAAAACATGTAAGTTGCTCTTTTTTTAAATTGATGGCGTTTTCCCTATTTCTTGGATTTTTTAAAAAGCTTAGTAAATGATTCTTTTTTTCTGTATTTCTTTTTGGCAGTTCTTATCAATAGAAGCGGCAAAGTATTCTGTTATCAGTAAATTACTAGAAAGTACTCGATACCTACAGGCATCGATATTCTATGAATCTTTTTAACACTACTTTGACATGACAGCTGATGACGTCACAGGCCAGTAAACAGAATCGTGATTGGTTGTGACGACGACCAATTATACGTTTTCGTCGTTGAACAAATTCCTAAAAATATTGCATTTTCTTTACGTTATTTTACTAAATCTTAACATGTTTTTTCTGCATATGTTAAGAAATAAACTTAATTAGATTATTATCTATCAGGATGACTACAAAATGCAACTTATTTTCGATAGTGTCAAATACCCTAGTCTAGACTTCCAAAGCTAAAGGAAGGGAAGCCTGGTCCCAAATTTTGTCATCAATATCGATATTCAGTATAGTGGAAACTATTTATTTTATTGCATTGTCCATTTAAAGTGTAAGCTCTCTGTGTTTTCAAAAAAGTGCTGAACGTAAAACATAGGTGGATTGGGAACAAAGAGTCAGCAACGAATAATGAGGAAGTTTTTAAAAAACACATTAGTTCCCAAAATCAAACTAGATGTCGCTACTGTACGTTCTTGATTTCTCCAT